CAAAAAATGCAGGTGCCTACACATGAAACCTTAAACGCAGGCAGCACAGATTCATCTAGTTTCTGTCGTCCGTGAGCAAACAATCACACATACCAAAGTGTGCAAATACAAAGACACACGAACCACACTGGAATCCCCCACCCTTCTTACACACACACACAGACACACACACACACACACACACACACACACACACTCACAAACACATACAATAAAGGCCTATTTTATCCCATTCCCAGGAGGCTTGTATATTTTGGTCTTTGAGTGTGTATGCACTTGCATGCATGCTTGTGGCGCACTGTAGTCCTCATGTGGTTTCACCTTCATGCCAGGGACCCATTTGTCTTCATTATCATCACACGGCTGGAGGAAGCAGATCTGTTAGGGCTCGTGGCATCAGTAATGCCTCTCTGTCCACGTATAAAAAACAACTTCACAACCTGGATGTTTGTCATGTCACCCCTCCCCGGGACCAGGAACATTAAGAGGGAAATAGTGCCTCGTGCCTCAATAAAACTGCATTTCCAATATTTTCAGAAAGAGGGATGGAAATTTGAGTGATGGTCGTGCTTGCAGAGCTGTTAAGTGAGAAGCATGTTTTATGGAGCGCTTTTTTGTCAACGTTTTGTTTAATGTAGAATTTATGTGGCAAAATGCTAATGCTGTGAGCAAATCACATTCCCAAACTTGCCACTGAGCTTCTGTTTGGGTAATAAATATGCCATTTAAATACAGCTTGTGAGTAAAATGAACATGAAAAAGCCTCTTTACCAACAGTCCTTTCAGCACATCAGACAGCAAAACTGCGAGCACCACAAAACCCCTGGAAGCATGACAAAGTCGACACTAACAATCTTGGACAGAGAACAGATTTTCCGAGCCCAATTATAGGTGAAAATCTTTTAAGAAACTCCTGGCTTAGCCCTGCAAAAAAAAAAGATAGCTATGTAATCACAAGGCCAGAGTGTCACAAGTGTTTCAATGTTCACCGATCTGATCAAAGTCTCAGTATTACTCCTTGGCCCTTATTTGTTCCCATACATCTCTACCTCAAAACAACACCCTTTCGCACCACGGAGCTCGAGGACCACCATGTCCGCACCCAGACAGGGCTGCTGTGTTTTTACTAGGAACACACCTCAGTTATAAAACCCAGGAACAGAACTGTTATTTCTCTAAACACCACTTCAAAACATGAATCAGATCTCAAGGAAAAAGCTGCCAGATTATCGCTAATTGCCTTCCAGCTGGCTACGCAGCACATCACAGGTAGGACACACACAACAGCAAACACATTCATGTAGTTTCCCATCCCTCTGCATGATGCCCATTACATTTTTGACCACCACCAGAGCAATTCATTACCCTCACCATGCCCCTGACAACGCAAGTCTATTGGTATGGCGATGGCGGCAGCAGAAAAGGTGAAGTAAAGCACATTAGTGAATTCCTAGCTGAGGAAAGTGCCTCTGTTACATCATGTAAGAGCCCCTTCTGTTTTGAAAAGGGTGAAGTGAATGGTCAAGTTGATATGGGGATGCAGATAGAAAACATCCAGGTGGCCACATTACCAAAACAGGACTCAGACACATTCAAACTTAATTTAAATTGCAAAAACTGAATTACATTTACGCTAAGAGTGGAGTCAATGTTCAGACTCACTGTCAAAAAAACGGTAAATGCATACAGCAGAACTCAATAAGACAGGTGAACATGCAAGCATGGAAAGAGCAGAGGTGGGTGGGACTGTGTGCATGTGCCTGTCTGGTGCATGCATGCATGTGTGTGTGTGTACCCAGTGCAAGGCCGGGAGACTCCCAAGCCTATAATTACACCCTGGTGGGAGTGAAGCTGATAACGGAGGCCCGAGGATATCACGTCATGAGAGGAGAGGAGGATACATAATAAAATTAAAAAAGGGGGATAGTGCACAACACGATACCTTATCAAACACCGGCTTTTCTCACTGACACTGCTTTTTCATTTCCTCCTTGACAGTTATCGAATGACCCCTACAGCTCATGAGCATGCACACAAACACACACATAAGGCTCCTTTAAAAGACAAGCCGAACAAAACAGCCCACACAGTCAGTGCGTTTATGCTGTGGCTACAGCCTATTGATTCAATTATAACCCATGCAAGGCAATACTCATTCTCAGAACCATCACGTAAACCCCTTAACCAAGTTATCTTACTCGCATTAAGTCTTTAATCAGAGTACCACTGCTGCCTTTAACATCAGTCTTTCTAATGTCCACTGGCATACACAAGTTGGACAGATTTCTTTTGGCACTTTCATTCTGTGCATGTGCCTCAAACGCCCTGACACAGCAAGTTATAGAGTTTAAGTTGTTCTGCAAATGCAAGCAGCGACAAATAGCAACAATTTCCCTTTTATTTCCTGTTATACTTCTATTTCCTATTTGACAGTAGGCCACCACACCTACTTCTGGACATTAACCCCACAATCATACAACTCACTAAAATCCATGTGAGTTACTGGGGAAATCAAGTCACTATGTAACACGTAGGGCTGCAACTAATAAATAGTTTTGTTATCAGCCATTTGCCAGTTGTTAAATTTATTGTATAAGCAATAAATCATTTGGTCAATAGGATATCACAAAATTATAAGGGAAATGCTCATCACAAGTTCCCAGAGCTCGTGGTGACATCTTAAAAGAGAAACTCTGCCAATTTCCAATCAGATCTGTGTTAGTGCAGTGTGTGCAGATTAACGGTGTTTGACTTCTCCCTGTGACACCAGCACACTGAGCTCCCTGCTCATCTGTTGGCAGAAGTCTGCCAGGAGACGTGAAACATGTCATAGACGTCTGCCAGCAAATAAGCAAGAGCTCTGGCTGCTGGCAGCACAGGGCAAAGCCATAATGCAATGACACAGAGCTGGTTGAAAATCAGCAAATTTTCCCTTTAAATATTTTGATTTGTCTGATTGACAGTCCCCAGAGTATCAATTTTAATACAATATAAGACAAAGAAAAGCAAATATTCACACTGAGAAGCTGGAACCACACATTTTTTGCTTGGAAAAAGACTTGACAAAGAATCCATTACCAATTATTGTTGCTGTATCTGTCGATCAACTAATCGTTTCAGCTCTCAAAACACATGCTGTGCATATTAGCAGTAACTGAGCAATTTGTGTGCATGTCACCACACTGTATAAAAAGCACTCACAGCAGGTGAAACTAACGTACCAGACAAAACCGCCTGAGTGACCAACCTCCTGATGACATCACAACATCAACAACAATGAAACATTACGTATGGAGGAAACGGTCCTTGGAAATGTGTTTTTTTTAAAGCATTGCAGAGCTCTGTTGCTATGGGGACATGCCTCACACAGAGGAAAAAAGCAAGTTAGAAAAGATTGTCCTTGAGGCCCACTATTCAACAGTGGACTGTTATATACTGAATGCTGTTACAGTATAGAGCACATTCTTCAAGACTGGAGCTCAGCCAGTCTTTCTCAGCGGGCAGGAGTGCACCTTAAGTTTGCTGCAGTGTAAATATTATTAAGATAACGCAGAGTACAGCAGATTTACTGAATGCTTTTGCAAAATATTACAGAAGTGCTTACTATAAATATCCTTACAGTAACTGCTGGTTTGTATCACAGGTATAACCTTAACTGAATTTACCCTTGATTTCTCATGCTGTGTAACTGCGTAACTTTCTTTTTGGTGACTGAAAATCACAATGAAGAGGCCACACACAGCACATCCCCTGACAGATGTGCTTTTCTGATAACTAACCCACATCCATTCAGTACAGGATGACCATATATATTTCAAACGAGCCAGTGCAATGAGAGGGAGGAAGCAGGCTTTCAGCATTCACAGGGGGAAGGACAGTGTCAGGGACCTTCCATCGTGGTATTGTCCAGACTCTGATAACCCACCCGTGGGGCCCCTCTCTCTTCCACCATCTCCCAGTGGAGACAACAGAACATTTACAGGTCTCTCGCTCTTTAGCCTCCCTGCACAACAAGAGGATATTAGCATTTACATGAGTGGTAGTCACTCCCCTATTGAGAAGATGCAACTCCCAGGAAACAGCAGTGGAAAACAGATGCTTTTGTTCCTCAAATGAAAATTAAACAGCCTAAAATGACATTACTGCTTAACCAACAATTACAAAACAGCCTCGGAGTTTGCAGCCCACTTTGTGCACCACACAATAAAATGATTAATTAACTCATTGACCCAAACGCCATGCTTTTAACGCCGGGGCGACTGTTTCGAGTGTGCAAGAGGAGAGTTGCTGAGAGAGTGCAGTGGCTTTAAGTGGGTCTTTCTTCTTCTTCTTCTTCTGTTTATTGAAAAACAAAACACGTGCCTCAAAGTGGCCCAATTAGAGAAGTGGGAGTCACAGTGCAGTGCAGGACTGGCAAAGGGCAGCACACAGCTTCTGGGAAAACTTTTATGCCCTCTTGAACAGTATTTTGAAAGTTCATTTTAGGGGGGACTTCCTGGGGAATGAAAATAAGGGATTAATATCACAATGGTTTAATTGTTTTTTGGATGAGCGATCATTGGTTTAATTGCTCCCATTTTTACTTGACCATTTACAGTACAGTGTAGCCTGTTATGCAATATATGACCTACCAATTCTGCCTAACAACAAAACCTGAGATTAAGTCCACATTTAATCCCAGTAGCTGTCTTATGTTAAAAGTTTTGAGTTGTTTGTGTGACATTTAACAACTTGACTTAGTAAACAACCTTTATAGGAAACAGCAATGACAGTAAATACAGTGTAACAACTTTGTAGTATATTTAACCACACGTGGGACAGTCCTTAAACGCAGCACGAGAGGAAAACATGCCCTGTACACACACAGGTAAACTCCAGGATCAAAGTTAGCCTCATGTGTGCGAACACGGCTGTTGTTGTGAAGCCAAACTACGTTTTAAAGTACAATAAGCTCAGAAATAACAATAGAAAGCCTTGTTTGGTGTTTATAGAGTACTCACCTGCGATACTAAAGGAATAAGCGTCTGCTCCACCGAGCGAGTTTTGATTTCCAGACCGGAATCAAAGTTACTGTTGCCGCACGGAGATGAAGCCATTCCCGCCGAGCTCTCCCTGCCTCACACACAATGCACGGCACTAACTGAGTTTCCTAAGAGCCTTTTCCCTGGCTGTTTCGCAGCTGCAAACTGGTGTAACGGACTCGCTACTGCACACTGGGATTTCTGAATTGGTTATACGGTCGTTTATCGAGTGGCTCTCCGCGCACGCACGCTGTTTTAATCCACTCCGGCTCGGTGGTTGTGCCGCTGCGCCCGCTAATGTCCATGTAGTTTACTCAACAGCGGCAGGGAGCGGACTGCAGCACACCACTGTGGGCAACCACACACACGCACCACAGCACGCACACACACCTTCAGGGTCTCACTGCTGGCTGCTCGTGTGCAGCTCGAGGCTTTTGCAAAGTGCAGTCCGTCATTCCGCTGACAATCAGGATGATCGCTTTGATTTTAATCCGCATGTTATGTAATCTAAAACACTGTCAAATCAGACAAATGTGGATGAAAGTATTTGAAACAGTGTGCATCTCTGCTTGGCCACATTATATTTGATAAATGTTATATAGGAGTTTTTGATTTAAAAATGCATCACCACTCATGCAAATTTCAGAGGATGCTATAGCCTACAGGAGTTTAAGATTTAAAAATTCATAATCCGCCCATCCATCCATCCATCCATCCATCCATGCAGATTTTAGAGGAGGACTTTGCATCCAGTGCCCTCCAGAGAGAAGGAGATGCTTCCCTCGCAGCACAGCTCCGGTTTGATCCCTGAGACAAAGAATCCCACATTATCCCCTGGAGCCTGAGAATCCCTTATCATCCTCTCCAAATACACACCAGATATGCCAATCAAACCCGGCTGCACTGAGCCTCATGGGACAGCTGAACTGACTGGAATGCAGGGCCTTATCTTAAAAAGTTGCCAACTTTTACCTTGTGTGAGTCTGGAGAAAGCTTTTCGCTCTCATCTTTACCCACTGTGGCGCTGGTCCAAAACTGAGAAGTGGGGGCCTGTAAGGTGTAATGACTAAAGTGGTTCCAAAATGTTTATTTATGATTTCATTCTGCTCTGGTTTTGGTTGAAATCACTTAAATCGGAAGCAGATGTCAAAAATATAACAGGGCAGCTGCTGTCGTTTTCTAAAACAAACAGGAACACGCAGATCTGGCTGGGCTTTTCTGCTCAGACTAAAAGAGAACTACCCTCTGATGACATACTTTGAAAAGACAACAAGTGCTGGAAATCTGTTTACAAAAGATTAATAAAACCCATCATTGCAATTAAAGTTTCAATCAAACTGTACACTTTTTCATACTGTATGCAGAGGGATGTGATGCGTAAGGTACACAAGGATATAAACCCCTACTCCTGATTCATCATTTACCAACAGTCAACACACCCCCACATCTCCCAATTTCCCCAAAGTACTTTCACTGTGTGCATCTAAAGATAAGAAAGACAAAAAGTTAAAAAGAAACTCAAATGACAAAAGGGATAAATGAAAACATCTGCGATACAACAGAACTGTGAGCCCTTTTGATGCATAAAGACTTGCAAACAGGTATATTTTTACAGGTTGTTTCTGAGAGGAATGGCAGGGTGACATTTCGTTTTAAACAAACTGACATGGAGGCTATGATGACTCACACGGATGTTATTTCTACATGAGATGATTCTCGTGTAGGGATGAGACGATCTACCGTGAAGTCTATAAGTTCTACTTATCCAGTTACCATCATCGATGTGTGTAGTTTGTCTGCATTAGAGCTTCTATAAATCCCCCTACATGCACTCCAACATGAGGAGCAAAGGTTTTTATCTTGGTAACACATCGTTCCTCTTCTTATTTTGCAACCCAGTGACTCCAGTATCCATAATAGGACTCAAAATACTTTATTGCAGCCTGGACTGGAGCCTGACCAAACTATTGCCAAATTCTCTGTATCCTCAAGTGGCTCCAGAAGCTATTTCTAACTTTACAAGTGCAGCCACTGGATGACAAGTGGTGAGTAACACTTCATATTACAAACACACCAGATGGCTGAGAGCAGATATGGCTTATAAGCACTGTGGCACTGCTAGTGAGGGCTTTTGCTGCCTGCTTTATCATCAACTACGGTGGCTGGCTCGCACTCTGTGTCAGCAGAAGAGACAATGGCCGTGTGTGTGTGTGTGTGTGTGTGTGTGTTAAGGCTGTCTGCCATTCTCAGGCCCAGCCAGTATTTATTTAAAACCCCAGAGCTATGCTTTAGTTTAACCCTCCCTGTTTACATAGGTTTCACTCTACACACACACACACACACACACACACACACACACACACACACTGCATCATTATGAAGGCATGTAAGCAGTTTGGCTGTGTGGACAGGGCCATGTTCCCTTTGATGAATGGCCCTACGACTAACTAGATAATATCTGTATGTTTTTTGTTAATCTGCTGTGAGGCTCTCTCCCGAGCGATAAGGCGATAACAAGCTCCACTCAGGCTACTCGCATTGTGCTGTATCAACTTCTGCTGTCTTAAGTGATTCTAGTCACAGCAGATAAGTTCAAGAGGCACAACAAGATAAGAAATATGATACATCCTGTACCATTTCAGTGGAAATAGTTTAGTTATCATCCAGACAAATTGCTCCCAAATTCACACGCTCAAACGAGCACAATGGTGCGCCGCGTATTCTCATTGAATTTGTCAGTGCCATGCTAGCAGTGAAACAGGCTTGTTTTTCTAAACAGCAACTCATTTGTACTGGAATATTCAATATTTGCTCCTCTACCTCTAATCTCTTTTAGGCACATTGCATTTTGACAATTTGCCTGAAAGCCAATACAAGCAGGAAGTGCCCTTTGTGTATACTCATCTGCACAGTCCAAGGGTATTACTCATTAAATACGAGATGCTTATGCAGAGTGTGATTGTGTTGCTAACAGCTGCTACTGTCTCTGTCTCTCTCTCTTGTGCTTTAGAAGTGCTGACTTCTCTCTCTCTCTCTCTCTCTCTCTCTCTCTCTCTCTCTCTCTCTCTCTCTCTCTCTTGGGACAGGAACTGCTGAGCCTAAAGAGATAGTGATTTTGCACACTGCAAGATGTAAAATGAGTGCACTCAGTCATATTCCCCTGTTGGATAAGTAGATTGAAATTTTGGAATTCAAAGGGAGGATTGTGGTGGCGTGTTCAAGGACTTTTTTCCTCTGCATTTTAAAACATAAGAACATTTCCATCTCGAGTATATGCATAAATACTGCTCTTGATTATGGCCCTCTGTGTACATATTTTGTACAAGATTATGATTTTGTATCTGGTGGTTTTACAACTCGTGTTTTGTGTGTAGCTTTCACACCACAATTCACACATTATCATGTGCCTCCAGGGAGGCCACAACCCTGAGCAAGCAGGTCAGACGAACTAAAAGAAATGTCACTCAGTATACTTCAGGCTAGCCTAGCTTTGACAGAGACCTGCAGCTGAACTCACCCACTTACAATGATACAGTGACCAGAGAGGCCTCTGTGAAAGCGAGGAGGTCAAACTGAGGTGAGGTGCCCTGGTTGAATATTTAGTTGGCTGCACACTGTTTTTACTGGCTGACCCTGAATACTTCAGTTTAAAGCTTCTGGAGTTGTTTAAATGTTAGAAGAGTCTAATCCTGGCTGGCTTACAGGTGTTTATGTTAATACGCACTCTGGTCAGAACGAATTACACGGCTTCCAGCGCAGATAATACAGAATTAGAAAACATTTTAATATGTTGAAATAAAATAAGCAAAGCAGCAGTGCTAATAAGGAGGGGGTCATCTGTCTGTCATTTACTGCTCTCCTCCTGCTAAATAGGCGTCCTCAGGTACAAAGCTAATTTAATTGCACGTAAACAAATAAGGCAGCAGCAAAGCGCCATAGCAGACACCCATCCTGGTAATCTTGGGTTTTCTGTGTCTCCATTTCTGTTGTTACATAATCGCGGACACCTTGCATATACTCATTATCATTCAGTTTCCATCCAGCACTTCTCTGTCTGAAGGCTGACTCATTTGTCAGAGCTGTGCAGGTTGAAATAACAGCAAAATGTAAACACACAGGAATGCGTGGAGATGAAATACCAAAATGGAAACATTATGCATGAGCTGCATGTTTCTACAAATTATGTGTAGGCGTGCAAAGTTAATACTTGGTCACTCAATTTCAATTCAGTTCAGTGTGCTTAATTGGCATGAATGTAACAAAGACAATATAGCCAAAGCGTCAAGTAATTATGAGATTAAAAATTAGAAAAGAAATTATTTAAGTGAAAAAATAATTAATAAAAAATTATTTAAAGAGGAAAAAATAATACTTAAAATTGAAAAAAAATTAATTATTAATTATTATTATTATTAATTATTTTACAATTATTCACTCCTAAACATTAAATTGTGTCCATGCACACAAGAGACATTAACGCAATATACATAAAAATATAAAATACCATGTAGATTTAAGGCTGGTGTATTTTAATTGCGTTTAGGTCCACACGGATTTTTTTTTTTTTTTAAAATCACTGGACCCCAACCAGTTTGCCTACAAAGCCAAGAGAGGGACTGAAGATGCAGTGGCATGTCTCCTCCTCTCCCTCCTTCAGCACCTTGAATCCCCAGGTAATTTCGCCAGACTCCTTCTCATAGACTTCAGTTTGGCTTAATACCGTCCAGCGCCACCAGATGATCAGGAAACTCCACCACGTCAATGTCCCACCACTCCTCATCCACTGGGGATGCAGTTTCCTCAGCAACAGACCACAATCCACCAGAGTGGGCAGCACCATCTCTTCACCCTCCATCACCAACACAGGCGCCCCTCAAGGCTGTGTCCTGAGTCCCTTTTTATTCACCCTCTACACCAACGACTGCACCAGCCCCTCACACATCACTACATTCCTCAAGTACTCAGATGACACTGCAGCCCTTGCTCTACTCAATGACAATAACTCAGTTATGGCCTATCACAACTCCATCTCTCATCTCACGCAGTGGTGCACAGACAATCATCTGCAATTTAAT